GCCGTTTATCATAATGATGTAAAGCCGTTATCACGTCTCGAGAAGGAGAGTAAATACTCTAGTAAACTCTTACCTACTGGAGCTTTGCCTAAACCGAGAAATAGTTATGATTTGGATTCAGCTGCAGGTACGGTTACATGTTGTACAAATAAAGTCAACTTACAATATTAACACCGTGCATTTCTTGTATTTAGAGACTCAACCTCTTCTTCGAACCTTGTAAATAATTACAAGTTTTTCCAAATTATATGATGATGCATGTTACTGTTATACTTGCCTTTGCTGTTGACTATGTAAAAAAATACGATACGCTATTTGTTAAACAGTAAATCTTGAGACAAATGTTTAAAGTTGGCAATGAATTTGATGCTAATACTAATAAAACGTAGCAACATTCGAGCTCGCGTTCAAGCATTCTAGCATCAGCTGCACGATGTGTGTTTCCTGACATTGTTCATATTCAAACCAGTTCTTCCTGAATGCGTCATATTTTATTTGTTCTTGAGATATCATGCGATGCTTATTAAATTTTAATGATAATAATCATTGGATAAAGTTTTTAGACCATTCTGATATACTAATATGATGGTGTAATCGATGTCACCTTTTGTACATTAGTCAATAGAGTATTCGATCCATTGTATATTAATATCCTCATCGTATTTATTTTTTGTATTCTTTCATAATTGAATCCAATGGTTTGTTACCAATCAAGTGTGGGTACTTTGCATCCGCCACAGAATGCATTCATCTTGCAGTTTAATCGACTTGTTGTCGTGACGTTACACGTGGGAGAGCGATCGTGTAACCTCCTTGAGATTTAGCGTCTTCCAACGGCGATATCGGCAGCGCCTACTAATGCTAATTCTTCTAAGCAGTTAGTGACCTTTTAACAGGCTTTGAATACTTACGAAAAATTCGTATCGTGTACGCTGATCCGTAGATATTTATTTAACCTCGAGTATCTGATCTACGATTATGATCCGATGGGATTAAATTCGGAAATCTATCGTTTGGAAAAGGTTTTCTAAACTAACGCGTTTATAGACAATTAAATAAATATCCTGTATAAAACCGATAGCATGCAAATCTAGGGGCAAGACTAAGTTCGCCACAGAGAATCCGGATAACGGTTTTCGCTAATTCTCTGAACGGTGAATTCTTAAGAACCACAGGATTTTAACTGACCGTACAAATGATTTAGAATCAATAGTCAGAGTTTTATTAGAATATAAGGAACTATTCTAAGGACCGTTTGTATATTCGAATGATAAAGGAATAAAAGTATCTGTTGACAATCTTAGCTGAAGATGATGATTGATGAGGGAAAACGGCGCGCTTAAATAACTAATTTCTGTCTAACATTTTGGGCAGCGAAAAGTGGATATATTGGGAATGTTTCACTAATTAATAACGTTCTAATTTTACCAACGTCTGTTAGCCTGATATGGTCGAATTTGGCTGCCCCTTACACAGATGGCCCGATATCGGCTGCCTTCTCATCTCGTATTACATTAGAGAATCTGCTCCGCAGAACTTGTCGATCGATTGCCGCAGAACTTGGAATTCGTGTAACCGAGCGGAAATCTCGGAGGAATACATAGACGTTAGAGCTTATCCATGACATTGTACATTACATAATAGGCATAATCATTCTCACGTGTCATTATATATACTTTTGTTCGCTTGCTTTGTACATAAATCTGATGGTAGCCTAAACATGCGTGGTAAGATTATATCACAAACTAGTGGAAATGATACATAACGATAATAAGTAGTCAATAATTAAAGCATTTAATAAAAATAACATACACGTAAATTCTATTTTGGCATAATATAAATCATGTGTCTTGCCTGTAAAATCAATTCAACAGGTGCTCCATACTCATTAGCAATAGGTAAACCATACAAATATTTTCTATCATAATACAATCAAACGAAATCCACCCTAATAGGCAACATTTTGTGAGATTGTTTGTAATTGAGATTTCTTAATAAACTCACGCGTCACTCGTTGTTGCTAGCCCATTCATTTGACACTTTTTTATGCACCACACAAGGCTACATTGGATTTACAGCAAGACCCATATCGAGAATAATAATTCCATGTAATAATATCATAGTTGACAAACCCTTTTATGAGTTTGTTTATAACTTTCATACGATTATATTGCTTACATAATTGCAGATTTCTCATTCACATTAACAACTCAGAAGTTAGTCTCGTGTTGGTTAAGAAAGCTATCAACCATTTCCAAGTGTGTTATGACAAACTCCTACCCAAGCATCGACCATATGGCACAATATTGTGTACGCCAAAATTACAATATTTTAAAATAATTACTTTTGTATGTCAGAGTTGTGCGTCGAGGCAAAAAACAAAACACAAAGAAGGATGAAAGGATACTATCACAAAATCCGCATGCGAAACTTTTAATATATATAATAGGAATCGGTAACGACGCAAACTGCGAATATGAGCCTTATGGGAAGCTTGGCAAGTCGCTTTTTTTTTACATCCACGTGCACAGTGAGAAGTGACACGAAACGTTTGGACAGGGTCCTGGTACACTTATGAAGGGAGAAAATTCAATCTTTCCAGAGAGAAATTTCAAGCTGCTCATTGGCTAATTTGAGCTGAGGCTCTTTTTTTTTTCGGCCATATTGATTTAAGCGATAAAACAAAATGCTTGATGAGTTATTAAACACGTGTGCGCAGATTATACAATTTGATAACTATTCCATGTGTGCTGTTGTGTTGTTGTCGAATGATTTGACGAATCATTGTTTAGACTTAGTCAATACTATACTATACGTACGCTTTATCGAATGCTTCAATTACATTCATTGAATGAATCGTTCGCTGTATGAGAAGTTGAAAATAATTTAGCAAAATTACACTTCATAATCTTACGAGATGTCTTTGAAAATAAACGTTCTAAACTTTTACGCTTCACTTATTTGAATCGGTTTTGCAATTAAACGGGTTATGAATGAAATATAGTTAACTGTCATAATCGATAGTGCAGTAATCGTTACGTGTAATCTTATTGTATCATGAAGTAAGATGCAAGTCTGTACAAACGATATAACATATAAGGCGTAATAAATAATACAATAAGTTACTCGCGTTTATATAAATTGTTTGATATTTTATAACAAACTCGGATGTTATACGCAAGCAGAGTTGATGTCGCAATGTCAAATAGCAATCTATTGTTGATTCTTACAGTGAAAGCTAATTTTTGTCATATAATCGTTACGCTGAACGCGTTTCTGCAATAACATTTTTATATTATTCGAGAAAAACATGCTGTATACCTTCTCCCATAAACGATATTTTATCAGTTTGTTATTTCTAACACTTTATCTTGTAGTTGCCATAAATACAAGTAAAACCCATTAACTAATGTTGCTGGGATACCACCAGTGCAGCCGTTGAAGAGTTCAACTGCGGGAATATGAACATGATATTCCGGCATCGCACGCGATTGTTGAAAATCCAACACCAGTAATGTTGACAAGTGGATTTCTGGCTCAAAGATCGGCTTTGATTGAAACGATCGAAAATTCTGGTCACGTTTTTGTCAAAATTTCACTGTTTATTGAACGTTATTAGGGAGCAGCCAAACGATATGCAAGAAATAGCTGTAATTATACATGGAACGGGTTAAGAAACAGTTCCTCGTGCTTTTGATTCCGTTAATTTAATAACATTCGTAGATTTGCGCGAAAAAACATGGCGATATTACTTATGTTAAAATGACACGGAAATAATAACTGGCAATTTAATCGCAAGACGTCGTGACGATGTAGCCATCAATTACGGCATTCACGTAGGTTTACAATACTCGATTCTTACTTGAATGTCGACATCACGTGACATGAACGTTTATATGGGGCATGCTGCAACAAAACCAGACAAAGTGAACATTCTATTATGTGACATAATATGATGTGGCCGTAAAATTGACCAGTGTGACTGATGACATTTGAAAAGTAAGCTTACCGTGAAGCTCTAAACCCATTTGCTGAACCTAATAAATATAGAAGTATTTTAAAGAAAGCTCAAGGCGAGAAAATTGCTCCATTATTAGCTATGAGTGAGCAATGAGTCTCGACGTCGCAAACTTTCATAGCCGTGAGATTCAAGTTCAACTTTGAATGTTTCGATATCAGTGTTTGGATTTTTGAAGTAATTATTTGATACCACGCGCGGAAAAAAGTGCTTGCGTTTGAAAAATTGATTAAGGACGGTTGTTTTTTTCTGCTTGCGAAAAAAAAATAGCCTATAAATTTTTGATACCGTTCAATAATTCATACACAGACAGCAAAAACACTGACGCCCCAAATTTTATCCTGTGTATCAATAGTCAACGTGTACGCAAATGCTGTAGCACTCCCTGCTTTCATTATTTTCCCAATATCTATACAAAACCAATAAATATATATAAAACATACCATCTATGAACATGTGACAATAAAATTTATACAAATGATGTGAGAGAATCAAAAGTTATGTAATGCTGTTGTTAAACAATGGACTATGTACTGATAAACAAAAGCAAAGTTTAAATACTTTTAGAGAAAAAAACTAAAATCTATACTCTAATCAATTGAAATGATTATTATAAATTCACTAGACCGAATTAATAGTTCTTATAATGTTCACCAGCGACTCGATTCACTCATAGAAACCCGTCCTTTCTGACAACAATATCTTTTATCCATAACTCGGGTGCATTCTCGATCATAAACTCTACAGCTGAATTCCTCAATTTCATATCTATCATCTCCGCATTGGGATCGGGACCTTTGAGTATTGTTGGACCAAATACCACTGACAAGCTCTTGGCCGACATTAAGTTTTCCGAGCCTGCTTGTCTCACTCTGTAAAGATGATTCATGAGATACCTGGCTGTTGAATAATGGCCTTTGGGAAGCTTGGCTATTGCCTGCCGGAAACGATCGAGTTTATCTTCTGTTGTTTTTGAAGCTAATTAAGACGAAACCAATAATTTTAGTAAATATCGACTTTCCAACCAACAGTTTTAACAGATGCTTGTCTCTGCGCAAATACTTGTCGACTTATTTGAATAATACATACCAGATGCCTCAAGGAATTTATTATATAGCCCTGTCGTGAATAATGGATCAGGTAATTCTCTGAAAAATTGCCTGAGTACACTGGTGACAGCACCAATGTCATTGAATTCAGTCGGACTGTTAAGATCGATGTCTTCTCCTTGTTCAAATGCCGTTATAATAGCCTTCATTTGCGACATTCCACCTGATTTACGGTATATGCCTTCGAAATCCATACCTATAGAAAACGGTAATAACCATCAATATATAACGAAACATCCGACTAATGTTTACCAGCGTCCCACTCATTGTCAACTTACCTCTTGCTTCAACAGCCTTTATACACTTTTCTACAAGTAATGGAATATCCCTTCCTTCCGACTCGAGTTGTTTGTGCAACTCGATGCCAAATATTGTAGCGGTAATACTGGCAATGCTTTCGGCCTCGTCCGCATACGCTCCCGGACTTCCGGTACAGGCAGATGTGCAAGAACTAGCGCATTTTTGATGACAACCAACCCCACACGCTAAATTAATGGCAACACATAAGTTAGTTATCAAATAAATTTCAGAGTGAATAACCATGTGCGAATGCTAAAAACCACTAATCAATAATAGTTGACTAAATTAAAATAATTACCGGAACACCGCACATCCACGTTGATTCCCCAGATTTTCTCTGAGCAATGTTCACATTTAACCAACCGATAGAAAGTAGTTTGCTGCCAAGTATGAGCTTTTGCTTGCCCGGAATCGCCTGGAAGCCTTCTACGTTCGCTTTCTGAAGAGACTCTCTCCCTTTCTCTTTCCCTTTCCTTCTCTCCTCGTTTCCCTACTTCCTCATTGCCTGTAAGAGTCGACGTGGGCGATATATTAGGCGACACTCGTTTGTTCTCATCATTACTGGAATAGAGGAGTTTATTGAGAACGCCCCCCTTCTTCCACTTGAACTTTTTGGGCGTCTCGCCGCGGTTGATGCTATTTTTATGCGCAATACCACGTTGTACTACCATAACTTGTGTACTGTCTTTATAAGTGCTATTACTCCCATCATTACTAATTGTCGAGTCGAGAGTGGCAACAGATGATGTCCTCGCATGCTCGCTTATATACATATCCTTGTCTGGCACAGATGGCTTTGTTCTGAAGAAACCGAATCCACCCTTGGAGGTCTTCTGGTGTGCTTCAATCTGTTGCATCAACTCATTGTTCAAGTCGGCAAGTTCTAAATTTTTCTCATTGAGGGCTCGCGCTTCTTCGATGCATTGGTCACGCAAGATGCGAAGATTTTCGGTTTCTTTACGTAGAGATTCGCTGTCATTCTGCAGGGATCGGATATCAGACATATATGCTTGTTTCACTTCATCAAGATGGGTAGAAATGTGTCGAACAAGAGAAGACGGATTGCTGAATAGAGTGATCATGCGGTAAAATGAACAGTTAGTGTGGTGGGTTTAACGGGATTGAAAATTGAATTTTATGGTAAACAGGTAAGTTGCAATTGCTATTGTTGGGCAAAAAACTTACTTTGTCGAACCATCCTCTTTCTCTTTAGTCAATCCTTCGATTTCTTTAAGCAACAATTCCTTTTGCATATTCAAATCTTTCAAAGTGTTCCGCATCTCTTCCAATTCTAGTTTCAACGCTTGAGAGTCTTTTATCATTCTATCCTTGGCATCATTCTCTTGTTTTAGCTCTGCAATCTTTTTATTCCGTGCTGCCAGTTTCGCCTGTAATTCTTCAATGATCATCTCGGCTTCATGTCGATAAACACGTTCTTCAGTATAAGAATTATGGGTTATAGTGAGAGCTTCTTGGCTAATCCGCTGTTGAGGGTTCGAAACAAGAAACTTCAATATCAAATGCAAAAAAAATTGTGGGCACAGTACATTGTAATTCTTTTTTACCTTTATTCGGTGATACTTATTCTCAACATCAACGAGTTTTTTCTTGGTCTCAATCAATTCGGCTTTTAAAGCTGTCACCGACTCTTCTTCGCATTCGATAGTGACTCTGGGTATATCTTTTCTTTCATGCTCTCTGCTCAGAACATTTTCCGCTTCCGCCTCTTCACCAAGACCCAAAAGGTCCACGCTTTTTCCTTCCAAGCCCGACAATAAATCTGCGTCGTCTGCGGCAAATGTTTTACTCTTTCTCATACTGTTTTGGCGTGAAAATCTGGTATTTTCGATAATATTGATCAAATCGTCTTCCAGAGAGAAACTCAACGGAGGAAGAACGGGAAGATCTATGTTAGGTCTTGGACTAAAAGTCACCTGTTCTTCAGATTCCTGGGTAGCATCACTAGTTTCGCTCGCATCATCCGCACCATCCGCATCATCCGCATCATTCACGTCATCTGCATCGTCTGTATCTTTTATCTCATTTTTACCGTTAATATCAGTAGCAGTTTTGCCATTTTTGAAAGTATGGGCTTCAGAAGACGGCGATTGCGGAGTGGTAAGGCTACCAGACTGCGGACTCGGTGGTGTCGGAGACCTTGGATATGAATATGTCGGTGATGGGGAAGTCGTTTGTTGCTCTTCGTTACTATTAGTAAGAGTTTGCGGAGGTTTCGGTGAAGTGCTTTGAGAATGAGGGGCCGGAGATGATGCAGATTGGGAAGGGAGTGAAGAAGAGCGTACTGTTGGTGATAAAACCAACTTATCCGATGTGGATTCAGTAACGTCACTACGATAACTACTTATTGAAAATGAACGCACTGAACGAGTGTCACTTTGTATGGTTGTAATGGAATCATTTCTAGCGCGAAAGTTTTCCGCGTCAACAACTTTCTCCTGTTCTCTCTCTTTTTCTCGCTCTCGTTCTCTCTCCCTCTCCAATTCCAACGCTCTTGCCTTCTCCCTCTCCAATTCCAGCGCTCTTGCCTTCTCTCTCTCCAATTCCAGCGCTCTTGCCTTCTCTCTCTCCAATTCCAGCGCTCTTTCCTTCTCCCTCCTCTCCCTTTCTCTGATTTCCCTTTCTCTAAGCTCCCTTTCCCTAATTTCCCTCTCCCTAATCTCCTTTTCTCTAATCTCCCTTTCTCTAATTTCCCTTTCCCTAATCTCCCTCTCTCTTTCTCTGATTTCCCTTTCTCTCATCTCCCTTTCCCTAATCTCCTTTTCCTTTTCCCTCTCTCTTTCTCTCCTTTTCTCCCTTTCCCTCTCTCTCTCCCGTTCCTCGTCCCTTCCTCTCTCCCTTCCTCTCTCCCTTTCTCTCTCCTTTTCCTTCGTCCTCTTTTTCCTTCCATCTCTTTTATCGATTCTTTCACTAGCGTTCACGTCAATCGAAAGCACCTCTGCAGACGCGTTTCTCCTCAACGACAGTCCAGTCCTTTTATTCACGTCTCGATCTCTTAGAAACGAGCTCGGTTGCACAAATAATGAATTTCTCGACAACGGCGTCGGGGAAGGTGTGCCGGTACGATTTAAACTTAATGACGAGGCCGATTTGTTTAGAGGTTGTACTTGCAACGATGGCGCTTGTAAATATGAGGACGAGGACGATGAAGACAGGGAATCGGATCGCTTCCTCTCGGCATCTGAATCGGAAAACTTTCTAAGCGAATCTGAAACAGCTTGCGTGTCAAGAGTACGCGATTTTCGACGGCTTGAATTTGGTGCTGGTTGTTGCGCAACGTTTTGGTATCGGTTTAAGCTTTCCGTTGAGCGTTTAGGGGTTACATGGCGTTGACTGGATTGACTGGATTGACTGTCAAAAGACCTTTGTGGTTTTAATTTTCGGCGTTCCTTGTTCTGAAAATAAAATTGATATCAGTTTTCTCTGACATGAGAGATGTATGGGTAAATAGTTGGTGCATACGATTACATTTGCCTACGCATCGCGTACCTTTTCCTCCGTGGGTAGTGATGGTAGTGATTTTTCATACAAAAAGTTCAAACTGTTGTTATCTTTCTCCTTTGACCGTCGAGGCCTATTTAATTTTTCATTGTGGCAATCCATGCAATATATCCCCTAATCGACAGATTTGATTGAACAGAGTTATGAACTATGGTCGATTCATTCGAGGGAAATAAAAAAAAAACACGAGTCGATTGATCTGTGATCTCCCAAGAAATACCTGACTCGTCTTTGCAAATACTAAATCTTCTATCCGCCGACGACAATGTCTGCAGCGGAAACATTCAACGTGAAACGCTTCTTGTCCTGCAAACGTGAAAGAAACAATATTAGAAATTGTCCGTCATTCTGATCGGGGGAGGAGGTTTTCAATATTCAATATTCCAGTATCCCAGTATTCCAGTAATAGCAATATCCTAGCACTAAAACTCCTGGTTCACGCGTCCGTATTCTCACCTGTCATGATTGCTTCGTCGGATATAGGTTTCTTACAGACGTGACAATTGTATGAACAGTTTTCGCATAACGGATTGCCGTCAGATAATAATAGTAAGTTTTTATCGTGCTCGACGAGGTTGTGACACTTTGCGCAACGAAAGCTGTGTTTTGTCAAAGAGGGAGGGAGAGGTGTATAAAGAGAGTGAAAGGTTAGATAATGTGAAAGTTCATCCAAAAAATCCGTCCAGCGGTTAAACTTTTAGGAAAATTTGTTTGCAAGCGTTCCCATTTATAAAATTTATAAAGCATAATCAAACGAGGAAGCGAACAAGGATTATGTGAATATGTTATACAAAGGGGAAAAGACGTTAGATATGTTTTAAGGGGTGTTGGGTCCGGGACGGGGAATTGAGCGGGGGAAAATGTGTTTTAATTATTATGACCCTAAAAAAGACTTCTTTGACTTGAAACAAAGTTTGTCTTCATCAACCGTCTTCACATGCTTTTTTTCTATTTGAATTAATGTAAACTGTGGGGGTGGATATTAAACTTTTTCCCCACCCCGTCCGTTACTGTTGTATACTAACCAGTAGACATGCCATAGGCCATCACCGAATGCAACGACATTTCCCTCGTCAATTATAGCATTACATCCTAAACAGATTGGGTCATATGGTTCTGTTTCGTAAGCCATGCGTTAGTGTCAAGATTAGTGGGTACTAGCGATATTAGGAATGTTAGTAGTGATTTGCTGCGTCGTTGCTGTTGCTGTTGCTGTTGCTGTTGCTGTTGCCGCTGCCGTCGTAATAGCATGCAACGAAGCGAAAGTCGTCGTGGTGAATGAAAATAAATGAACGTTCTGTTGATGAATGTAATTATGTATTGCTGATTGCGTCAAGATTAGGTGCGTTTATTGTCCGCTGTGTTGCTATGTTCGTTCCTATGGAGTAAGAAGTAATTGCACATTCCAAGTTCAACAGTAAAGTGAATGTGGGGATTTCTTCACGTAGTTAAAGCTGTGAATGCGCGATCACTATATTGCATATGAACTAATCAGAGGACAATTTTTTTTTCCTTGGGTATTCATAATTCTACTATATATAGCTTTCGTCGCAATTGGTCACGGTTACAATAGACAATTATAAATGTCGGTTCGTCAATTAACAGAGAGTGTACAAATGGGTTTGTTTATATTCTATATCTATTGTAGATGTGCGAATATATATATATGGTAATCGAATATATTACATACTATATTTGACAATGATACTGCATCACATAGAGAATGCACAGATCCTAACACACAATGATATGATTGGATTCAATATAACGTCAAACGAGCAAAGTCAGGAGTCCAAGTTAGCCAATAGAATGTCTAATTGACTCTAATACACAGTTACCCGTCTTGACCCGATTTTCGATGTCAGCTGCATGTCGGTTTATGAATAATCGCAGCTGGGGAATAACAAACGAAATGTGTGTGTTTACTAACTTGATAGCTGATATATGTATGGGGGTGACATCATATACGTGTAAATTATGTGATCATTATTTGTGAACTTTATTTGGGTGCAATTTTCATTTTAATGTTATGTGTTAGTGTACTAAATTAAAATGTGATAAAAATAAACGGTAAAAAAATGTACATCTTTATTCCGAAACAGTCTCTTATGTATTTTGGTAAAACTATTGATATACTGTTTGGGTACGGGTCGACTATTTTCGCTCAAATGTTGAACAAGTAGAAATTGGCGAATGATAATGGAACAAAAAACAGCAAACGAAAACGTATGAAAGAGAAGGAAATGTCGACTGCTGCAAGTGCGGGCCACCGACATTGTTTATTATTAGTCATTGTTGACGGAAATGGTACGAGATTAATCGTTATCGCTAATAAATGTTTGGTTTGTTGGCTTTATCGCTTTTGTATTGATCACAAGTTTCTAATCTGTAATTTATCGATTACTCAAGAATAGATTGTTCAGATTGAAGACAACATGAACGAAGAACTAGCACAGATAGATTAGACAAAATTAATTATTAATCTGAACGGGAATTTATTGGCTCATGCTGTGCAAGAGATGAGAAATTATTTCATAGTAACACCATTAAAACAAATTATTTCTATGCCTAGATTTCTTATATTTGATTAACAAAGGACACATTCTTATTAAATAAGCTTATCGTTTTCTCCTGGTTTCGAACTAATATTTTACATTATTTGTTATCAGACGATGTAAGGCTCAATCACTACAGCAAGTGATTATCGGACTGTCCAGTCATAAGCTATAGCTAGACGCACGCTCGCTCCGTCCAACAGTTCCTTAGTTGTACTGTTATTATTATCTACACACGCTGGTTTCCGGAATGTAACAGATTGGCGTGCGCTTACTAGTCGGACAATATTAGGCTTGCTTCGACTCTTTTTATTGTCCGAGATGGACAATTTATCTTCAATATAGCAGTAGTTTTATTAATATTAACGTTAATACCAGAACGTTATACTTACCAATCACGGAAAATTTAATAGTATAAAAAAAAACTATAAATGAGTAACAATATTAAATTTTACATGTTTGCTACATAAAAGTGTCAGGTTATATTGATTGCATACAATCAGTCGCTGATTAAATATACAGCATGTTTGTTGGTAATACTAATACTAACCACAGAAGGTTCAGATTAAACCGAAAGTAGAAGCAAGCTCGATTTCTACCTGGCATACTGACATTGCCCTTCACTACTTTCTATGTGAAACAATTGACTTGCACATGGTATGGAACGTCTGCAACGAAACCGGACAGAGTGTAATGTGACGTCACTTTGGACGAGAGTCAAATGAATAGTAACTGCTCATTGCGAGTCGATAACAAGAACTATATATAGCATTACAGTGAGATAAAGATACTATATGAAATACCGTCAAATCCCTGATCGTTTCAACATCTAAAATTAAACACAAAACGTCATTAATTGGCGCAATAATAAGGGAAAGAAATATCTAGCCTTGCTAGTGCAAAACGTTTTCGAGATTAATAATGATGTATTCAATGGTCACGATCTTGAATTTTAAGCTGTTGGGCGGTTAATCTTCAAACAGACAAAAACAGCCTAATTGATGAAGCGTATTTTTATCTTCCAATCAACAAGTCTCTGTTCAATTAGCTTTACATAATCGATTTCTTCATACTAACTACTCTCCTTGTTAGCATAGCTTTAAACAACATTTTCGTTACATTACCGTACTTTTATTTATTATTTCCTGGTAATAATGTTTTCGTTTTTATTCATACAATACGTTCTTTTGTAAACAGATTGTTACGTGTATCTATTAAACTTTACTCAGCCTGTTTACAGAATTGAAACCAAAATTCAAATATAACGTTTCTGTCAGACTGGACAAATTTCAGTGACCGATAAGTTGTAAAAAACGGTTCGAACTTTTCTATACATTTGCTTTTTTTAGCCTTGCGATAAGATAAGAATTTTATGAATTACACAATTTACTCGAAGACATGGGAGCTTGTGCTAATGTGACTTCAGCTCTTTAATTGGAATACATTAATGGACTGACCAAAACCATCACTCTTTTCAAAGACATCCGAGAAGGCTAGCCACTACTGCAAGTGAATTAAACATAAATTCAATGGTACATTAGATACGGTCATCGTTGAAGAAGCGCACACGTTTGCTGGTAGTCAAAGAAAAAAGTCTTATGTAGTAAACTTTTGTTTGGTCTTTCCGATGGTAATGGGTTCTTACAGTCTTCTGATTTTATAGTTACCGCACCGAATTCGTAATCGAATCGAACGTATGTCTGTCACATCCGCCACTGCTACATCGGCAACTATACCCCACGTTTTGTTTAGTCAGGATGCTCCGTATTGAAATATATCATAAAGTACGTGAGAATACACTGACCGTTGAGGGCCTAGATTACGTCGTGGATATGCATTACGTGTTTGACATCCATGACACCCGGCGAAATTTTGAATGACAGAATAAGCAGGTATTAAGATTTCAATCTAAGTACGATGAATGCGACCTTGGAGTATAAGCAATTTCTTTATCGTTAGCTAAGATATGAGTCTGCTTTGTAAAATTTTGGTTTGCTTTTTGTAAATATGAAGAGCCTCTTTGTCCTGAATGTATACAATAATCATCTGCACTTGCCCGAAATGGCAAATTCCTTTTTCGTTCAAATGTCAGGTGGTCAGATGAATTCAGTACCTGTAAGTAGTTCCTCACTTGCTTACAATGGCATGAACTTTTCCTTCTGTTCTGCCTCCTTAGCACTACTGTACTTTTGACTCTGCATAAATGTAGTTCCTTTCCCCCAATCATCCAACATACCAAACGCCGACCAAACAACGAATTATATAATATTGGGAAACAGGATTCATACATTTACTTTCATTTGGAAGATCATTAGAAAGAGGCGAAAATAAGCTGTTTGCCATGCTATTGGCTATTCTTAAAGAAGGAAAACGAAATTTATACAACAAACACAGATCATCTGTGACGTATGTTGACCTATTTCGCGATATATGCAACATTTCTATTATAGTTTGTATGACATTTTTAATTATTCAGGTCTTGGCACTTAAAGACTTGGAAACTAACGTAAAGTAATTAAAAATGTCTATATCATCGCTCCTACAATTAGGTCTCATATCATCGTCAGGATCGGTCAATAATGATTGAAACGTTTTGTCAATAAGTTGGATCAGATATTTAAACATTTCCAATTAATAATGTTTGCGTCACTTGCTTATCGCTTGTTGCCTTTCCTATTGAATATAGTCCAACGCTCTTTATAATCAAGGCATGTTTGCGGATCATTTATTGCATGCGTTTCTTTACTTTCTTAATAACTTGTCCGCGCGGGTACATACAACGCTCTACGGAAAACATTAGTCTCGTCCTCACTGACATAGATAGCTAATAGTGAATTAATATTGACATGTAGCATTATCACAATATATTTGTTTACCAATAATACGATTGTAGGTCAGCAGACAATGACTTCATTCAAACAAATATCTTGGCCGTTAGGCTATTCGATAATGTTTGCGGCACCATCACATCACACAGCCACCAATTATTCAATGTGCTTATCTTTCACAACCATAACTACAGAACAAAAAAAAGTTCGAATTTAATAGGTAATTCGATCTGCTTGTCACACAATATGGACATCTGAAACATTTCCTCATAGCCAAGAAACAAGTCCAATTAACCTTCTTACGCTCTCCTGTAAACAATTCATGTGAAACATACAGTTACTTGTTCGCATATCGAGCTAATCATGTGATATTCTGACCCATATGTAAGTATTAAGCTGATCTGACATTTTCTCTACACCACGCGCGCATCGAAAGATACAAATGATACCATCATTAACTTCTCTCTTTTCCTCACCACCAGACTTGACCTACGGTCGGGCATCACTACCCTACAACAAATATGAACTCGCCTTCCGCTCTGCCCCATATCACCACACAGAATATATCGTTCCTTTTCCCAATCATCCAACATATCCAAACGCCGATCATTTTATCTATTATCAAACCTGGTCACTTTCAAACGTCAAACAACGTAACCTTGATGTCATGATTGTGCATGGCATGGACGGTTACGGAGGTCGCTTCTCGCAGCATATCGACCCAGCGTTGAGAGAAGGATTCAGAGTCATCGCACTTGATTTGCCTTCATTCGGCCGATCATCGGGAAAACACGCCTATCTGAACGACTGGAAAGAACTAACAGAAGCCGTACATTGTGTCATCGATCATCTAAAAAAGGAAAACGAAAACTATACGGATACCAAGCTCTCGTCAAAAGGATCTACTCTTCCGTACGATTCGCGTCCCAATCCTCGCAAACTGGTTCTTTGTGGCGAGTCCCTCGGCGGATTTATAACTCTGTGTTATTCTATTCTTTATCCGCACACTATCGATGCAATACATTTATTCTGTCCGCTAGTATTTGTCTCGGAAACTTCACGTCCGAGCAAACTCATCGAACTTGTCGCAAAGGTGATTGCAAAGTCGCCACTTGGGTATTTACCAATGTCTTACGCGATGGTAGGAAAGGGAAGTTCGGATCCGAAACTCGAGGAAGAGTTTAGGAATGGTAAGGAAATCGGTCAAGTGGGAAAAGTAAAGGCAAAAAGGGGGTAGTAAGCTAAAAACTGGGAAAGTGTGTGTGACAGTGTGAGAAAAACAAAGAGACCACAGTATAACGCGCGCGTTAGAGGGTTGAAATATCTGATCGAATATCTGATTTTCTTACATCTCTCTCAAAATGGTTGTCCCGACACATATCTTACTGTCTTGAAAGACCCGATGACGTATAGCGGTGGACTCCGGGGTAGCACGGGTATTGCACTTCTCCATGGCACACTCTGGCTCGAGGCCAATCTGCAAGAGGTCTCCCATGCGTTTTTTGTACAGCACGGAACTTCTGACAGAGTATGTGCCGTTGAAGGAAGTCAATTGCTTTATGAAAAAGCCAGGACGCCGCTAAAGAACAAGAAACTTGTATTATACGATGGACTTGAGCATGAATTGTTACGAGGAGTGGGTTGTGATAAAGTTATAGAGGATTGGGTGGCTTGGTTGATAGAAATTGATGAGAATGAAAGTAATCAAAAACGCGAAGAGAAGTAAATAGATGCAGATTGTGAGCAAAAATGTGTATACGTGTTCGTTTGTTGCTCGTACATAAGACGTGTTCTTGTATTAACTTTTTATTAATTTATATGGTCGCTTTCAGATAGAATCTATACATTATTATCATAGGCGTCAAATTCTTCTATAAAATATCTGAATTTAAAATATTCCTGGCGTCTTCAAGTGTTTTTCTCCAAACCTAACTGCAACTTGCTGATCTTGCAACTTATATCTTCAATTGACTATGATGAGGAGGAATAAAGGAAACCTGATGCCATATTGTCTTGCTATTTGACACAAGAAAATAGTATCTTTTCTTTGTTTATTAAATGTCAAACTTCGTAATTCACTAGAAAAGATAATAGTATGTGCGAAATGATTTCACCCTTTGATGTTGGATCCGCCGTTTTAGTTTATGTAGAGTACGTGTATCGTCATTGTACTTCTTCCAGCCTATTACCATACGCGTTAACAAATCGCTTGCGTAATGATGTTTTTCTAGAAATTAGCTCCAGAAAGCAATTATAACCGTTAATACTCATTATCTCGTACGGCACATTGTTTCATTTAAGAGAGAATTTGAATCGTGTGTGTTGTGAATTTGTGCGCAACATGATGATTTTACTTTGGGAACTGGAAAATTCGAAAACACATAAAATGTATGTTTGAGACGAGAATGTGCGTTAGCTTTTTGACTTTTACATTAGTTATCAGATAGAAGTACTACACAGTAATGATAAGACAATAATAGATTTTGTTAGTTAACTTGTTGGTACGCTTTATACTTCAATGCAAAATTAGTACTACATAGTAGTAGTATATAGACTTCATCGATTCTATCGATAGTTGCCTTCTTTGTACTTATCTTCCTGTTAAATAGCCTATACAAATAAAAAAGTTTGAGACAATCTTCAAAGCTAGTGTCGTGTCCTGGCAAACATCATCTTCTAAGTTTTAAGACCGTAACGTCAAACGGATATTGTTCATATTGATTCTACCGTGCTTTAGTTGAAGATGGGTTCAAACGCCAACTCGTCCGTACATACAGTATTAATATTAATATGCGTGTAACGTTCTTTTGATTACTATAATAATAAGTTTGCGCGATGCCATTTGCACATTAATATTAATGTGAAATCTACAACCTTATATCATAATCACAGGAGTTGTCGGGGCTCAATTTAATATTAATCTTATGTCTCATTGTATTAATGGAATTGGAGTAGAAAAAGATGAACAAGAAGCAGTCGAACGGTATAAAAAAGCAGCTGAACAAGGAGATGCCAGTGCTCAATTTAACCTTGCTACATGTTATATAAGTGGAATGGGAATAGAAAAGGATGAGCAAAAAGCAGTTGAATGGTGTAAAAAAGCAGCTGAACAAGGACATGTCAGTGCTCAATTTAACCTTGCTACATGTTATATAAATGGAGATACAGCAGAAAAAGATGAACAACAAGCAATTGGATGGTATAAAAAAGCAGCTGAACAAGGAGATGTCAGGGCTCAATTCAATCTTGCTATATTTTATATGAATGGAACTGGAGTAGAAAAAAATGAACAACAAGCAGTTGAATGGTATAAAAAAGCAGCTGAACAAGGAAATGTCAGTGCTCAATTTAATCTTGCCATACATTATCAAGATGGCATTGGAGTAGAAAAAGATGAACAACATGCACTTGAATGGTATAAAAAAGCTGCTGAACAAGGACATGCCAATGCTCAATTTAATCTTGCTACATGTTATGAAAATGGGACTGGAGCAGAAAAAGATGAACAAGAAGCAGTTGAATGGTATAAAAAAGCAGCTGAACAAGGAGATGCTTGTGCTTAATTTAACCTTGCTACATGTTATACTGTATAAATGGAGATATAGCAGAAAAAGATGAACAACAAGCAGTTGAATGGTATAAAAAAGCAGCTGAACAAGGAAATGCCAATGCTCAATTTAATCTTGCTATATGTTATGAAAATGGAACTGGAGTAGAAAATGGTGAACATGAAGCAGTTAAATGGTATAGAAAAGCAGCTGAACAAGGCCTTGCCAATGCCCAATTTAATCTTGCTGTACATTATCAACATGGAACTGGAGTAGGAAAAGATGAACAGAAAGCAGTTGAATGGTATAAAAAAGCAGCAGGACAAGGAAATGCCAAGGCTCAATTTAATTTTGCAACATATTATATAATTGGAACTGTGGTAGAAAAAGATTAATTTATCAGTGTATGTTAAAAACAGTAAGCATTATTATTATGGCAAAGTTTCTGGATTAGACGTTGACATTACTTATGTAACTGATTTGTGTGAATTAAGTGTTAAGAAAGGAAATCCTTATGCACAGTATATTCTTGGTCTGTACTATGAACATGGAATTGGGTAGAAGCAGATATTAAAAAAGCCATTGAGTTATATGAAAGAGCAGCTGAACAGGGATATACTAAAGCAAATAGTAAAGTGTATACCTTCTATGAGAATGGGTTGGAAGTAAAGAAAAAGATAAGGGAAAAGATTGAGATGTATAAAAGCATCCATTTACATTGACAAATTTGTAAAATTGCATTGTGTTTGTATTATTGTTAGCATGTTTATTACCAGAGAAACCAACCTTTTTTTCAAACTTTGGATAGCAATTCGGATGCATTTGTTTTATTAAGGTGGTAATAGTCATAATAATGCTGTTAATAACATTTATTTAAATAAACAATTTTTATGATATGATAATATTTATTGATTGTTGAAGTATCCATTAATAGTAATTATACATTATAACTTCATATTCATATTTTCCTTTTCAAGCTCAGAAATCTCAATTAATCAACAACTCTGAATTTAATTAAGGAATTGATTTACATTAATATTAAGTTTCAAATTTCAACTTGATTGAACACAATGAATGATACAAGTTTTTCAGATTTACATAATAATAATTGAACAAAGATTTTTAGAAATTTAAAATTGTCCAATAACATTTTGTCATTTTCATTAGCTTGTTATTATTATATCGCAAAATTATTATGTCAGAGAAGCCCGTTTTTATAATTTAAAGAAAACATTTATACCTCATTATGTTATTAATGGCTTTGCAGCTTTTTTGTAATTTAAACAAGTTGCTTATGCCTTTTCATACCATTGATAATTGTATTTGATGTTTAGAAGAGACGTTCCTGTATTTTACGACAAGCCGATTTGATTAACAGGGCATGTGATAAATCTTTCTTCGCAGTCGAACAATACATAGGGGTCCAGTTCATTTCACCGACAAAAACTACCAATAAAGGGTAATGTTGGGAAAATTTTGTCGGTGAAGTGAATGCCTCCCAATTTTAGAATAGTGATGCATTTCCGTCACGGTTACGCGTGACGAAAATCTGGTCCAGAATTATCATAATTTTCTGACAATTTGAATTTTCAGTCACAGCGCAAATGCTATAATTAATTTAAAATATCATTTGTTTTTGAAAATAAACTCGGATATTACAGTATTGTTTTTCAAACAAATGTTTCCTGTGAGGAAAAAATGATAACATCTCGAAGAATTACGCAAAAATCTACAGTTTGACGACGATGACACTTACAAATGATAAAAGAATAATGTATCAGTCCAAACGCATCGTAACTTTCGCAATTGTTTCGGTAATCCAAATTTATGTCCACGGATGTAGCAAACAGTCTTCACAAATGTATAAACGGCTATCAACATTGGCTTGCTTCAGGTAAAATATGTCCCACTAAACTTTGCCTTTATGCGAGCCATTTTCATCTTTCAATTGTCCGATAATATTTTTTGGATCATTATGAGCAATAGCAACAAATTTCGTATGTCTCCCTTGTGCGATCAGGTTTCCGCTCTCCTTGTTGCGTAGATTGATCTCGGTGAAAGCGAGTGTCTTTCCTAATTTTACGCAACTAGCCTCCTGTAATAAATCATCACTAACTCGTCAACGTTTCTAAAACTTACATACTGTTCTCTTTTACAACAATCTATATGAGATCTTTGAACTATACCATAAGTAGTACATCTCCCTGCTTAGCAGAGTTGACAAAAGTGACATTCAAATCGGTGCTTACACCTGTCGCAAAGAGTCCTTTCGAGGCGATAGCTAAAGATCCACCCAAGTCTACTATGGTTGAAGTTACTCCGCCATGCAATCCACCGAGGCGATTCTTGATTATCACAAGACAAGCAAACAGTAGTAAGACTAAAACTACTGTCTCAATACAGAAAGAGACACACTCTTACTTACTAAATGTTTCCCCCCAACAGTAAATTCACCAGATACTCTCCCATGGGTCGCTTGTGTAATTTTCATCTGTTTCAGCGTTTATCGGAGCTTGTTAGTCTATCTGAATACAATTATGCGAAAAAGTGACTCCAGTTTACCTCGCTTAACGCCAAAGTATCGAATCCACCAGCATCCATGAATTTCTTAAATACTGAACATACAAATGGATACAACTGAGGCGCTTTATTCAATGCCATCCTTAGAGCGAGTGGTTGTAAGTAAAGTGAATATCAATAGAATGTATAGTCATAAAATGATGTTGCAATGGTGCTTCACTTCCGTTTGACAGAATTATACCAATAAATCGGGCAGACCAAAGTCAAGAATTAGCTCTTCCAATAATTTGTTTTCAAAAAATACGGAAGCCTATCGAACCTGTTACAAAGTGTTGATGCAAAAGGGCTGCCGGCCAAGCAGAAAAGTATCAAAGCAAGATTCAGTAATAATGTTTGTCGTCCATGTTAATGTGTCTATTAATGAATTTGAAATTTCAGTAACAATATTTCTTGAAAATTGAGCCAAGAAGCATTGGCATTCATTTAATTAGCGAATGGTCCTATTCATTGTTTTCAAGTAACAGTTTAGCGTGTTCACCATTTCCCACAGCTTGACATTTTGTGTGCATTAATAAGGTTTCTGGGTTCGATACGAGCTACTATCAAAGTGGAATTGGGATAATTGCGTATTGCTTGTAGTCTCCAAAGCATTGGAATG